TAACCAACATTTAGGTAGTACAGCTCAGTGGTAGAGAATTCAACAGCAGATCGAGAGGTCAGCTGAACAAAATCGTTTGTAACCTATCACCTGAAACTGAAGCACGGACGCAACCTTTAAAACAAAAAGCTTCAACCAAACTTTTCGGATTTTGAAAGTATCAAATTTGGACAGAGACTGAAATTTCAAAAGACCGGAGTAAAAAAGGAAGAGATTTGTTTGACTATTCTATAAAAACTTCTACTCCTGAACAATTTTATACAGGGATATAGCTCAGTGATGAAGCATTTGACAACAGTCCGAGATGTCCTTAGTTCGCATCCGAATGTCACCTAACAAATGAAACTTCCAAAACTTCTGTTTTCATGCAAAAGTATGGAACTTAGACAAAAACTGAGACTTCTCAAAATCAGTTGAAATCAAATTTAAAAAAAAAATCTTTTAGGACCGTTTCTTTGGACAAACTAAATAAGAAAGAGGAATCAATTTTTGACTACTATCTGATCAATCGAAATCTTAACATAGGTAAGAAACTGACTCATGTTTCAAGACATCAAAAAGGATTAAATAACTCACTTCAAACTGTACTTTTGATTGAGAAAGTATCAAATTTGGACAGAGAAACGGAAATTTTGAAGAAAAGGGATAATTTATCAAGAAACTCTAAAAACTATTACTCATTTTTCATATTGCGGGGATATAGCTCATTGGTAGAGAATTCGACTGCAGATCAAGAGGTCTTTGGTTCGAATCCGAGTGTCCCCTAACAAATTGAAGATCAGATTTCTTTTTCATGCAAATCTTTCAATTTTGGACAAACACCTTGAATTCTAGAAAAAAAAAGAAACTGAAACGTTTTTGCACTGCCGTTAGATAATATAAAATTGCAACTTCCACAAATTCGATCTGGCTCAGTGGTAAAGAATGCGAGTGCAGTTTGAGAGTTACCGAGTTCAGAGATTGCACGGCTTATTAGATAGGTTTTAAAGTAATTTGTGCCGCATTTGAAAAAAAAAAGATTCCGAAAACTGTTTGTCATACAATTCTCATAAATGACAAATTTTTAGTCATACAATTTTCATATATGGCAAAAATGTTAGTCATAAAAATTCCATTTAAGGAAAAAAGTTTTTTATAGATATTTCATACAAATTTCTGTACGTATGGAATTGAATGGAATTGTATGACAATGAATTTCCCATTTTTTAGATTTGTATGACAAGCATTTTTGTTCAACCCGGGTGAGTACAAGTTGAAAGTGTGCGTAGAAGAGCGAATAAGTTAACCAATATATCGTTAGGTAACAGTATTTAGACAACCGCGTATTCCTACTCGTCAGTAAGCAGACAAATACTGTATTAAACAATCAGAATCAAGATGAGAAAGCAAACTTTTGAAATAAATAATTATAATTTATTAATTTCTTCCTTGTCTTGATTCTTGTTGGTTAATACAATATTTGTCTTTTTGAAGTAATCATTGAAAGAGTCTTACTTCGAACAACTCTGAGAAAAACAAAATCTATAAACCAAATCAAATAAAATCAAACCAAAAACCGAAATAATATTGAGTACAATAACCGCGATAACTCAGTTGGGAGAGCGTGAGACTGAAGTTCTAACAGTCCCTGGTTCAATCCCCCTTCGCGACAAGCAGGGATATTCAAAAAAATTTTAAGCTTTACAAAATTGAGACAAATTTTAAAATAAATTATTATCTGAGCCCTACTTCAAACAAATCTGGGACAAACAAAATCTATAAACCAAATTATAATAACATCAAGGCAAAATTTGAAGATTTTTTCTTACAAAAAACCTTGCCGTGATAGCTCAGTTGGTAGAGCGTTAGACTAAAATCTAAAGGTCTCTGGTTTGATCCCGGGTCGCATCAAACTGATAATTCCTAAGGTTAAAAACTGGATCAAGTTTTTAAATTAATCATTAAAAGAGTCTTACTTCGAGAAGCTTTGAGACATACAAAATCTATAAACCAAATCAAATAAAATCAAACCAAAAACTGAAATAATGTTGATTTCAAGCACCGCGATAGCTGAGTTGGGAGAGCGTGAGACTGACACACTAAAGAACCCAGGTTCGTTCCCGCTTCGCAGCAATCATCAATACATAAAAAGTTTTCAATAAGCGTTACGAAGTTGGGTCAAGTTTTAAATTAAATTATTTACTGAGTCCTAATTCAAAGAAAACTGAGACAAACAAAATCTATAAACCAAAGCAGAATAACATCGAAACAAAAACTGAAGATTTTTCATATTAACAGTGCCGTGATAGCACAGTTGGGAGAGCGTGAGCGCAGTAATCTGGGAAATTGAAATAAAAGTTTTTGATTAAAAATTTTTGATTAGGCAGTAAAAAATGAAACAAATTTTTAAATTAATCATTAAAAGAGTCTTACCTCGTAGAACTCTGAGACAAACAAAATGTATACACCAAATCAAATAATATCAAAAGAAAATCTAAAAGAAATAATCTTGATTACAACAAGACCGCGATAGCTCAATTGGTCGAGCGTGAGACTGAAGCTCTAAAAGTCCCTGGTTCAATCCCGCTTCGCGGCAAGCACGGAAGTTGGAAAAAAGAACTTGATTAAACAATAGAAAGTGGATCAAGTTTTTGAATTCACCATTGAAAAAGTCCTAGTACGAATAACTCTGAGACAAACAAAATTTATAAACCAAATCAAATAATATCAAAGCAAAAACTGAAACAATAAAAAGTAATAACAGAAAAAAAATAATAAAGAGAATAAACCAAAAACCGCAATAGCTGAGTTGGGAAAGCGTCAAACTGATCATTTAAGAGTCCCTGGTTCGATCCCGCTTTGCAGGAATCAGGAAAACAGAAAAAAAAATGATTAAGCATTAAGAAAATGAGACTAGTTTTAAATTAATTATTATGTGAGTCCTACCTCGAATAAATCTGAGACAGGCAAAATGTATAAACCAAATTAGAATCATTAGCAAAGCAAAAACTGAAGATTCTTAAGCAATATATGGCCGTGATAGCTTAGTTGGGAGAGCGTTAGTCTGTAGATCTAAAGGTCCCTAGCTCAATCTTGGGTCGCGTCAATCTAGGAATTTGAAATAAAAGTTTTTGATTAGGCACTAAAAAGTGAAACAAGGTTTTAAATTAATCTTTAAAAGAATCTTAATTCGAAGAACTCTGAGACAAACAAAATGTATAAATCAAATCAAATAATATCAAACCAAAAACATAAATAATATTGAGTACACTAACCGCGATACCTCAGGTGGGAGAGCATAAGACTGAAGTTCTATCAAACCTGGTTCAATCCCGCTTCGCGGCAAGCAAGGATATTGAAAAAATAATGGTTTTGATTAAGCATTACGAAATTGAGACAAGTTTTAAAATTAATTATTGTCTGAGTCCTACTTCAAATCAATCTGAGACAAACAAAATCTTTAAACTAAATTCTAACAACATCAAAGCAAAATTTGAAGATTTTAAAATAAAACAGGGCCGTGATAGCTCAGTTGGGAGAGCGTTAGACTGAATAACTAAAATTCCCTGGTTCATGTAAGCCAGGGACTCAATTTTAGTAGTATCAAAAGAAGAACTGAAAGAATTGCGATTAGAGCAGTGATAGCTCAATTGGGAGAGCTTTAGAAAAAAGAGCTAAGGATATCTGGTTTGATCCTGGGTCGCGGCAACCAGTGAACTTCGACAGAATTTAGTTTTGATTAGGCATTAAGAAATTGAAAGAAACTTTTAAATAAGAAAAAAAAACAAATGAGGCAAAACTTAATCTTCAAGATCTTTTCGAAGGTCCACAGTCTTTAAGCTCGCCTTGAGATCCAGTTTTTCAATCTAATAAAATAAAAAAAGATACAAAAAAAATAGTTTGGCCGGCAAAACAACAAAAAAAAATTTTTAAAAACTAATAATTGATTCCTCTTTCAAATAACTCTGAAAAAAAAAGCAAAAAACCGAAACCAAATTACTAAAACATTCAATCAAATTTAGAAGAAGTTTGGTTACGCCAATTGCGTGATAGCCTAGTTCGGAGAGCGTGAGACTGCAGATCTAGAGGACCCTGGTTCGATCCCGGATCGAGTTGATCCGGAAATTTCTACAAAAAATAATTTTGATTAAGCATTAAGAAATTAAAACAAGTTAAATTACAAAAAAAGTATAAGACAAAATTGAATCTTCAAGATATTTTTCAATGTTTTTCAGTCTATAGAATTAAAAGAAAACACGATACGATAATGGAGTTTGGTTCGGAAAACGACAACATTTTTTAAATTAAAAATGACCTGAGTCCTATTTCAAATAATTCTGAGAAAAACAAAAAAATTGAAACCAAAACACAATAACATTAAATCAAAAAATGAAGGAGATTTGAGTACGACAACGTTGTGATAGCCTAAATGTGAGAAGGTTAGACTGCAGACCTAAAGGTCCCTGCTTCGATCTCGGCTGGGGCAATCTGGCAACTTGATATGTACAGGCCTTAATTGAGCTCTGCATTTCAAATACCAGAAACAAATTCAATATCTCTATGATATAACGAAAACCATTGGACGGCATTCATACTTGATTTCACCGCGACAGCTCAATTGGGAAAGTTAGATTGAAGAACTCAAGGTAGCTGGTCGGTTTCAGCAGTGGGAGAACTTCAGTTTTTAAGGTGTGAATTAAAAAATCAGTCAATATCTTTAGTTCATTCTTTTACCATCAATTGTTTTACCTCCACACTAGAGAGATTATTTTTTGAACCTTTCTGAACCTTTCTTTGTTTTACAATCCTTTTTAGGATTTTGTTTATGATTTCACATATTTTGTACTCACCATTATACAGCATATTAAATTCTCCTGATCTGCTAGCAATTTTTTTTGCACTAATCAGCGATTTTAATATTAAAGGATTTTGGGGTTTCAAAGTGAGAGTACTTCTGGGCTAAAATATCTAGATATGGTTATGGGTGTATGGGGGTTGCTATTGCTAGTGTTATGGCTGACCTGGTACATAAGGGTACAGTTCCCGCTCTATTTTTCCGTCGTCCTCTTTCTCATCCAGCCATCTGTTGCACTGGAACAATGTCACTTTGCCCTCCTTCTTCACCTCAACCTACATCACACATGAATCAGAGCAGAGGTCAACAGGCCAAGTAGGGTGCTGTTAATCACTTGCAAGTTGAAATCAAGAACACAATTGCTTTTTTGTTGTTCGAAAAAGGTCTTTTCGGTTATAACCCCTTAAATGACGAAAATTGAAAATGAAAAGTTTTCGTTTTTATTTTTATCATTTAGTGGGGGGGGGGGGGGGGAGTATAATCAAAAAGACCCCGAAAAATTAAGTATGTTCTTAATGGCTTTTTTCATACAAAAAATATGTTTATAATTTTTATTTTTTCATAAAATAGATTTGATGAATACAAATTCAAACTGGCTCCTAATGGCTAATTTCATACAAAAAATTATGTTTATAATTATATAATTACTAGTTATTTTTTCTTTAAAAAAATTTGATGAATACAACTTTAAACTTTAAACTGGCAAAGATCTTTTTCTTGATCTTTATTTGTTCGCACAATTAGCCAAAATATCAAAAAAATAATGGGACATTTTCAGTTTACTACCCCTGTATCCTTGGCTAACTCCAATTTTGAAAATAAATACGAATTTTATAGACTTAAATCATTTATCGCGCGTTGCTGTGATTAAAATGACGCAATCCTGGTTACATAATCGGTTACCTAATCAATGATTGACTGACCTTGTCTAGAAACCAGCCTGCTCCGATGCCCCTCCCATCATGCCATACTTTCAGTTTCTGAATTTCACCCACATCTTTGATCTTCTTCTTATACACACCCTTCCTGAACACCAAAATAGCTCAGTTAGCATCAAAAGTATGAATTATAAGCAATCATTAAAAAATATCGCACAATACAAAATCGCTCCAAACTGAAAGGAGGCGAGCTAATTGGTCGTATTATTTCCATACATGACTCACATGTTGAAATTTGATATAATCCAAAAGTTATGGTTTTTCAATATTATCTTAACCAAAAACTATTCGAGACTGATTAAAGGACAGTCGGAAAACTCAGGGCTTTGCCCTCATATGCGGGCAGTTTTGTTTAGATTAAAAATCAGAGGTCAAACAAATAAATGGGTCCAAAAAGCGTTATGTTCAGCGAAACGAACAAAAAAAGATTTGAGCTCACGAGTTTCTTTCAAAATCGTCTGAGCCCTCCTTGTCTAAAACGAGTTCTCCCGAGTCTCCCTTCTCTCCATATAAGGTCATGGACACTTTGCTGTCGGTGCCAGCTCCTGCTATGTCTCCAGTGTAGACTATGAACTCGTAATCAAATTCTAAAAAATGTTGAACGAAATTACGTCTTTTGCTAGGATGTTGCACAATTGTTATGCAATCAAGTTACATAATAAAAGCAGAAAGAGTGTGAACAAATAGGTATGATTGAGCGAGAAACTAGACTTTGAATTGAATCACATCTCAAAAAGGACTGAAGAACGTATCAAATGTTGAACAGATTTTCAAAATATTCCAAGGAAATTATTCCCGAAAGCAGAAATTAGATTTCAAGATTTCAAGCGAAGAGATGCAAAAAGCACTAGTTTAACGTACTTGTTTCTGGAACTAAAACAGAAAAAAAACTTTATAAACGTTTTACTTTTATACATCTAGAGTAAATTGCTACTATGTTGGAAAATGTCGCTTTTTTCAACTTAATTGAAATTGAAACGTTAACATCCAACAGTTTTGTTGTTTTTTAGTCAGAACTAACAAAACCACCACATATAATATTCACAATTTTGAATTAATTATTGTTACGACCATTTGCAAAATGGGGAGGAACTTTGTATTCAAGTTTGCTTTAGTTTTTCCCTTTTTTTGTTCCGACCATTGTTCCGGGTGTGGTTTAGTTTGTTTTCCACGCAAAATTAGGTTCCCACACAATAAGAATCGGACTGAGTTGAGTGATATATCATAATAAAGCAATTTCAGTCGTGATTCGAACGACATTAAAAAGGTAGAAAAAAACCGGTTTGAACTATTTGATTTTTGTTCTAATTTCGAGCTTATAAGGTGAGCGTCCAGGTTTACAAGAGTGAAAAACTGGTTTGAAATTTTGTATTTTTGTTCTAACTTCGAGCTAATAAGATGAGCATCCAGGCTTAAAGAGTTTTTAGCGCCATTTTGGGAATCAAAAAACTCTTAACGAATATGCCTAAATTTCTAAATTTTTGTTGAGATCCTGTTTTCACACCACCCAGAAAAAACGACACTAATTTGAAAGACTTTTTCTTGTTTGTGTTCTTAAGAATATGATAGAAATATTCAATGCTACAGGCACAGTAACCGGCTATCTTTGTTTATTTTTTGTTTTCCATGCAAAATTAGGTACAACAAATAATCATCGGACTGAGTTGAGTGATATATCAAATTAAAGCCCTTTCAGTCGTGATTCGAATGAAAGTAAGAGTGTCGAAAAAAACCGACTGAAATTTTTGATTTCCGTTTCAATTTCGAGCTAATAAGGCGAGCGTCCAGGCTTAAAAGAGTGAAAATCCAGTTTGAAATTTTTGATTTTTCTTCTAATTTTGAGCTAATAAGGTGAGCATCCAGGCTTACAAAATTTTAAGCGCCATTTTGGGAACAAAAAAACACTTAACGAATATGCTTAAGGTTCTAGTTTTTTTGTTGAGATCCTGTTTTCATATCAACGAGAAAAAACGACACTAATTTAAAAGACTTTTTTTTGTTTGTGTTCTTAAGATTATGATCGAAATATTCAATGCTACTGGCACAGTAACCGGCTATACTCGTTTTTATTTTTTTTGTTTTTCACGCAAAATTAAGTACAACAAACAATCATCGGACTCAGTTGAGTGATGTATCATATTAAAGCCCTTTCAGTCGTGATTCGAACGAAATTAAAAGTGTCGTGAAAAACAGGTTTGAAAATTTTGACTGTTGTTATAATTTCGAGCTAATACCGCAAGCGTTTAGGCTTACAGAGTTTTTGGCGCCATTTTGTGAATCAAAAAATTCTTACTATGTCTTTTCTATCATTTTTCTACAAGAACTGTTTTCCACTTGGCCTATTTTACCATGAATGTTGAATATGCTTAAGTTCTTTTTTTTCGTTCAGATCTTTTTATCACACCACACAGAAAAAAAAACGACAATAATTTGCAATAATATTTTTGTATTATTTAAGACTATGGTCGGAACATTCTGTGCTTCTTGCACAGTAACTGTCTATCTTTGTTGTTTTATTGGAACAGGTTTATTTGTTTCCCCCATTTGCAAATCGTTCATTAGCGGACTTCACCCCGTTTGGGACTTTTTTACGGCCTTCACTTTTGGCCGACTTTACGGCCTTCACTTTTGGCCGACCAGCTCTAACTTTTTTGAAGACAGTACATACCAACTTTAAAAGGAGAGCGTGCACCACGTATTTGTTTTTGGTTGAAACATTGCAAAAAACCCAAACTGCACCATTTAGGCCCTTTTTGCAAAATTTTATCATCTGCCCGAAAAAAGAGGCATTTTAAGCCCTTTTTTCGCAAAAATTTACCATCTGCCCGCAAAATCACAAATCATACATGAAAAAGAAACAAAGCTTTTGCAGTTCATTTAAAAGCTCACCGCCCAGCCCCTCGATAAAATCCTAAATACGCGCCTGAAAAGGAGGAATCAGTTACAATGTACAAAATTAGCATATATTTAAAACTTGAATTAGTCATTTTACAGTGGGTGGAAATTCTTTACTAGGGATTATAGCGGGGAATAGCTGGTCATTTATAATTCTTTACTTTTCTAGTTGACAAGATGATCTGTCTTACCGTATGGGAATAGTGTTCGTTCGGTGTGTCCGTCGTCTTGGCTGTGTGAGAGCCACTTATTGCAATTAAACACAGTCTCTTTCTCCTCATACGTCACCACAATCTGAACAGAAACCACCGAGTTTAATGCTTTGAACAGGAGACCTCCAACATAAGTAGGAAACTTTTCTCTATAAGGCAAAAAAATCAATTAAACGAAGGCATATAGATTAAAGAATTTACACATAACAAGCATAACAAGTTGATTCATGGTATTTTTTAAAGCGTATGTGCAGTAATTGGTAGTTTTACTCATCAATATCGATTTTCGATATGTGGATTTTCGGAGAGCTTAGATATTTTGGTGAAGATTTTTAGGTAAATTAGATTTTTAGGTGAAGATTTACGCGACGATATTTGTTGAAGTGAAATATAGACGAAAAGTGTGAATACGATTTTGTAATTTATCTGACCTTGTCCAGGAACCAGTCTGCCCCAAATCCACTGCCATCGTGCGACACTTTTAGCTTCTGCAGATTCCCCAGGTGCTGACATTCGACCATATACTTGCCCCGGCTGAAACGACAAATTCAAATTTAGTGACTTTTAAGATTTAAATAATTAACCAGATCTGCAATATAAAAGCAATAAAAAACCGAATAAAGCGAAATAGGTTTTTAGCCATGAAAAGTCATGTTCAAGTAATTGTTTTTGGATTTTACAGAATCCTGCATATAGTATAACTACGCCTGATGATGCTTTTTACAGAAGCCTTTTACTACGTGAAAATATTAGTTTTATTTTTTAACAGGTTTCTTTTTTTAAATCGAATGATAATAAAACGACTACTTCTTAACAAAAACCACTACGTAAACTTACGTTGCCCGTTCGAAGTCGTCTTTGCCAGATTTATCCAATATGAAAGCAGTGGACTCTCCTCTGTCTCCTGACAACTGTACACACACATTTGCATCTGTGCCTGCCCCAGACACATCGCCAGTGTACACTTCCAGCGAATACTTCACTTCTGTGAATCAAAAATAGAATGTAAAATCAAGGTTAGTCAAGCAACATATAAAAGTGTTCCTATACGTTTAAAACATTTTAAAGCAGGTTTTCGCAGAAATTGTTTTTATCCACCTTATATGAAATATGTTCATCTCGGACTCCATGGCTTTCTTCGTTTTGGATTGGGTCAATTTTGACCCCAGCAGATTGGATGCGAAAGATAAGCTGCAAACCTTACATCTGCAGGCCAAAATGAACAAAATAGCGGCTCACTTGCTACGTGAAAGCTGAGATAGGTTCTTTTTTTCTCGATAAGAACTAGAATTCATCAGTTTCATTTTCAGGCTGTGGATCTAGCATTTTTTCGAGAGTGGCCAAATTTCAAAAACCTAACGCCGAATAAGTTTTCCGAGCTTAACTTGCTGAAACTTTCATCGCAGCGAATTTGCGAAGAAACAGAGCAAAATACCGGGGTAAAATCCGGGCGGGTGTCGAACGCCTGAGGCTTGGCGTCAGCTTCAACCTCCCCTCCCCCCCCCCCGCCCATACTACTTTTCATTTTGCTTTTCACAAATGTTAATGTTCACCTCTCAATGATAATGGCAGTAGTGAAACTATGCAAATCATTTAAATGGCAATTATGATGACGGCAAAAACTGCATTTGTAGCATTCAGGCCTCCATTTTAACCAAATGAAGCGATCCACAAAAAAGGGCAAGACTGATTAAACTCAATCTGATTTTTGAAATTTAGTGCATATGCCTTGTGAAATGATAGCCAACAGACAGCTGGAAAAAAGTTAATGAACACAAGGAAATAGAAAAGAAAAAATGATTTGTTTTTTGAAAAAACTTCAATGTAACAACAGTTTCAAAGTAGAAAAAAATATGGCTTTACAGCTCTTTGAATTTCCAGAACAAATTATGCTTAATACTTTTTCCAGAATACTTTTTTTGATACACTCAATTTGAGGAAAGTGGATTAGTAGGTAAATTATTTGCTCCACTGGAAAATCTGAAAATTAAACTCCACTTTCAAAACTAGAATTCGTTCACGTTTTCGTGACCTTTACACTTTCGTATCTGGAGAGTACAGCTTTCCTAACTTTTAGCAGATGAAATTTCATTGATCTCAAATGGTGCATATACACCTAGAAGCATCCATAAAAGTAATCATTTGTATGATTTATTTCTGTAAAATATTTAAGGATTTTGAAACTTTTTCAGAAAAAAATCCTAACGACCTATGTAAGAGTTTGAATTGCGTTCATGGACTCTTATTTAAAAAGACAATTGATTTTAGTTACAAAAACTGAAAGTAAACAAATCAGGCTGTGTACGCTAAGCAAAAAAAAACGAAGCGGACAGATATCAGACCGACAATTGAATTTTTCCAAGAAAAAAAAATATCAAGAGTACCAAAGATAATTATAATAGAAACCAAAAATCCAGTTGTTTTATTTGAATGTTCACGAAATTGAGCATGTCAGCACAATTATGAGGAGCACCTGATCAATGATTCAAGTGATTTTAATGAACAAGTTGTTAGCCTGAAAAGTCTATATTCCTATTTAGTGACGCTTGCTAGTCGCAAGCGTAAGTATCATATTGGAAACACCATATATTCAATTTAAATCATACTAAAGATCTTATTTTGATGTACACTAAAAATCTCAATGCGTACGCTAAACAAAAACCGGATAACTTAAAAGGCAGTTGAGATATTCCGAGCTTTGCTCTGATACGAACAGTGGTTAGGATAAACCATTTTATAGTGTTCCGACTGTTATATTGATTTTTAATCCAAGATTACGTACAGTAATGTCACAAAAAATGAACAAACCTGTTTGCAGTGTGCCATTATTTGTCAAATACAAATCAGTAGCATACTTGGTTTAATGTGCAAAAAAAACTTTTCAGATAAAAAAAATCAAGTAAACAAATTTACTGATTAGTACGCCATACCTTCTTGCTGACTTGGAGCACTAGCCAACAATATAGCGGATGCAATGCTATTAAATTACCACAGCTAAATTACTGCGCAGCAAAATGCTACCAATTCCTTGAGAACTAAATTATGCGGGCAGGGTTAGAAATAAAGCGAACACGTTTATTTAAACATTGGTTAGACTGTGTGACCTTTCGGAAATGCAAAATTTAAGCAAAAAAAACTCCAATAGCGATAGCCAATTGCTGGTCAAGTAGCACCAAAATTTCCAAGCACAACCATACAAAAACTAAGAAAAAAGGACAATTT